ATGATCAGAATATTCTCTCCAGGTGGGCAGGTTTACAGAAGTTAAATCATGATTAGAAGGTGTTTGGTGAGAACTGATTCCAAAAAACAGCAGTTGGATTCATCACACGTTCAATGATAAAGGATGAAGCAGCCAGAGACCATCTTTTAACTTAGCCAGTGGAACGAAAGAACTCCAAACACTGAGGTTCCCTCTAGGCTGGGCAACAAGCACACAGTCTTGGTACCTCATGTCTGATTTATGACTCTCCTGTCTCCAGGATTGCATGGCTTGGTAGCAGGCGTCATGCACCATGCTAAGCACATTTTGTGCGTTATCTCACTTGATCCTTGTGTAGGTCCCTGCTCAGAGCGGCCTTGCCTGAGTTCTCATGATCCTCAACACTGCTGTATTGTCTCTATAGCTCTTGTCACTGTCTAATGTTCTAGACTATGTTAATTTGTTGACTGGTCATCGTCTGCTTCCACCAGAGGATGCCAGTCTCAGAAGGGCAGCAGCTTTATCACCTGCGTAGATGCATTCCTGATGCCTAAAATGGTACTTGGCACACAGTAGGACCTTATTATATGTTTGACAGATGAATGAATAAATTGGTGGGTGGAAGGTTGAATAAATGGATGGATGTATTAATTTACAAATAACCTGAGAGGTAGGTATTAGCATCCTGTCCTGCAGATTAAGAAATCAAAGCTATGGCAGATGGTTATGCTACTTTCCAAGGTCTCCCAATTAGCAATCGGAGAGCAGGAATATGAGCCAATTCCTATAGATTCTAGAACTCTTACTCTCAATTACTGCTCTATTCCTTTGGAAAGGTTGACACATCTAGGCAGGTTTCATCTAAAACTAGACCTCTTACACTCTGGTTTACGGTGTCCAAAAATCCACATTGATAAGCTATTATTAAAAAGAAAGGATTCTCTACATGCTCTTATCCAGCACATAGATTGATACCAGTTGTGTGCACAGGCCTTCTAAATGTATTTTTTCAGTCTTGTCCCTTGAGCTACAGATCCTATGGCAATGACACCCCCTGTATCCAAGTGCCAACTTGGTCCCTACCCTAGCCATCTTAGACATATCACATACGTGGTACTATCAAAATGGAACTTTATCTCATATCTTCCTCACTTTTATCATAGCAAACCATACTGACACAGTATATTTTGTTCCTAAATCAAATTCCTAAGAATCAGCCTTGATTCCAGGATTAAAAGGATGATTCATCCTTTCCCACCCCTGACGACCCTAAATTAACTTGTAAATGCTGTCTATGCCATATACAAAAGTAGATCTCAAGTGTGCCTGCTACGTATCACGCCCATTGTCAATATCCTAGTGCACCACCCATCTTCCCTCTCCTGAGCTACTACTACTCTTGCCTCCTTATGGGCTGCCCTGGTTCTATCCTTTCTCCCTACCCCAAAAATCATTCCCCATGCTGCAGACCCAGAGAATTTTTTAAAAAATGTAAGTCTGGTCATGCACACCCCTGCTCAAAACCATTTGATGGTGTTTGTTACACTCAGAGCTAGAGGCCTTCCTGACTGTGGTTTGCAGGCTGAGCTCCAACTATACCTATAGCCTGGCCATGGAGGGGCTGCTACTGGCAGGAAGGGAAAGTGGAGGTGCTGTGCCTTTGGTTGGGAAAGAGCTGATTATCACAGAAGACATCTTCTGCAGGCTTCTCAGATAACCTTTGATGTTAACACTGGGAATCTCACAGGGCTTTCTCCAGCAACTTTTCATCATAGTTACCAACCACTACATAGGTCCCCCTTTTGGAGAAAGTGCTCAGAGGCTCAGAGGAGGCAATGTGTCCCCTGATCCCAGCCATACTTCTGCCTGAGATCCCAGGAATCTGCTTCCTGCCCGCCTGCACTGTGTTTTTCCAGATCACTCCTTCTCCCTGGGCTCCACTCATCTTGTAATGCCACCTGTCACTTAGTCTTTGAATGTCCAGGGCTATTCCAACATTAGGGACATGTTACTAGATGTTTTCTCTCCTTGGAATGCTTTCCTCTGATTTTTCATAGGGCCAACTCCTCCTGCTTTAGGTTGCACTTTAAATAGCACCTTCTTCTAGAGATCTTTGCTGATTGCTTTTGAAACAAATTTCTTCAGTTATTCTCTATCAAAATGCTGTCTTTTTCCCCCCTACAAATCTCATCAAAATCTGTTCTCTCTTTATGTTTTTGTTCATGTTTATTGAGTGATTCCATGTTCTTAAGGCTAAGGCCCAAGAAGCAGGTCCTAATCTGTCTGGTTGAACAATGCCCCTCTAGTATCTAGCACAATGACAAATGTTAAAGACACAATAAATACTCACTATCCATAGTAACACATCATGTGATAAATGTCAGTGGCATTATTGTGTTTAGTAAAAGCATTATTAACCATTGTTAGGATTTCTCATTACCTTTTTCATACTTTAGTGACCATTAATGATTAATGATCATAACTGCTCTTTTTTTACTGAATCCCTTTCCCTTTCCTCTTCACATTCACATAGCATAGGACCCATTGAGAAAAAGAACACAATTTATTTGAGATGTGCATCAAATTCACTTTCATAAAATTTGTGCATATTTTGTGCATCAAAAAAAGCATAGAAGACATTTTCATTTTCTTCCATGTATCAGGCTATTTTTTTTTTCACCTTACTTATATTTGGAGGAATATAAGATCACAAAATCATGGTATTCAAGATTCTTTACATATTCAAGCCAATATAGCAGCCCTGGGAAACCACACTCTTGACATTCCAGATTCTTCATTTTTTCCTGAATATCCCAAAGCCTGTTCACCTATCCATGATCTTGCTCACGTGCTCCCAACCTGATATACCTGCCTGTCAATATCAAATTTGCTCCTGTAAGGCCGATTAAAACATCAATGCTTCTATGAAGCATTCTGTCCTACTTTTTGTAGTTTTTAAATATTTCTTAGACTTCTTATGGCACCTAGCTATTCACAGTGCCATGCATCAAGGAAATATTTTACTATTAACCTAAATGATTTTCTTTCCCAATAATTCATTTTTTGCTTGTTATGACTAAAGTCATGGCAGAGACTATGGCCTCAGGGAATGGGTATGGTAATTACAGTAGAAGAGAAAGCATATAGTAGGAAATTCTTACTGAAATTCCTAAATTGACTTTTGAAATGACACAGAGAGATGGCTGCTTGAGAGAAACGAGTTTTGAGTTTCAAAAACCTAAGTGGTTAAACAACAGATGACCAACCAGCTTTCTCAAACTTCACAGAACAATGGAGGAGAGCTGGGAGGGGAGCTGAGGGGTCCAGTGCAGTTTTTGACACTTTATTCCCTCCATCTACACCCCAGAAAATGTTGTGCTGTGGGAACATTAGAACTCCCAGTGAGCTCAAGGTAACTGGAGAGGAATAGAAACATATGCCCCCAAATTTGAAAACCAGGCCATGTCAGAAACAGAAAGCCTATCAGCCTTCCCCCAACTCCAAGGCTCCTGTGGTCCCAGGGAACATCAGCTGATCCAAAGAGGCGTCACCTCTTCTGTTTGAGGAAGATCCAGAGTGTGGCACCACAGAAACCTCAGCAGATGCAAATGGGAGTACATGACAATGACCAAAGGCCAATGAATGTCAGCAGGGAAAGTCAACGACCAGCTTTCAGATGCTCCAATGCAGTGTGCATGCTTCTTCCACTTTGCACCCTGCAACGATGATGATGTTCCTTTGGTGACAACAGGAGGAGGAAGAACAGCAGCACCTAACATTTATCATGTGCCTACTATACTCCCGGCACTGTGGGCTTTACATATATACTGCATCATATTTAATTCTCTCAGCGATCTTCTAAGAAAGACATAATTATTAATTCTACTTCACAGATGAGCTATGGAGGCACAAATAAATTAAACAAGTTACTCAAGACACACAATTATTAAGTAGTAGAGCTGCCCTCTGGGGTGGAGTCCCAGAGAAAAGACTAAGAGGAGAAATTTTGAAGAGACTGCATTTAAACTCAGGGTGACTAAGAACATTCTGGGATTGATTAGATTTTGTTTGTTTTGCCAGCACAGAATGGAGGCCTGAAATAGAAACTACCTTCAGAAATAGAAAAATAAAGTTCCATTTTTTATGCACCAGTTCAAAACTCTCAGCAATCACCTCCACTGTGCCTGTTTTCCCTGCTCGATTTGAGTTTAAGGATGGAAGAAGTCATGTCTTACCCATCATCCTATTCTCAGTGCCTAGCACAGAGAATATAGAATATAGACTTGGTAAATGTGTTAAATTGAACTGAATTATGACAACATCCAGAATATTCACGTATCAAAACTTTTAAAACATGAAATAAAAACACACACCACATTTGAGTATTACCCTAGGGACACTAAGAGGTGGTACACACATGGTGCCGTACATACCATCTTTTCTCCATGTTAGCTGTCTAAGAATCCATCTTGAAACTGCTGGGGGGGGTGTTCAAGAGACTTGTATACTCTATTTTATTTTCAGAGTAAAACATTATCCTTGTTCACATGTGGGCCCCGTCAGCCAATTATAAATAACAAATTATAAGCATTTTAACTAACTAATGATTGTAGCTTTTGGTTGAAATCCCCTTCCTACTACCTATTCTATTTTTGGCTGGCCCATCTGTGGTTTTATATATAGTGGTCACTGTATAGGTAGGTATATTAAGCCTATTTAAATGAACTTTACTTGTTGTAATAATGTCACTTTACTGGACACCCCTCCCCCCAAGTGCACCTTGTTTTCTAAAGTGGTTTTCAACCCCTTATACAACTGAAAAAATTGTTTTGTGTTGAAGCATGATAAATGCATTTGAACTTTGAAGCCCTCGAGTTCCTTCTTTTGTGGGTATCTAAAAAATTACCACTAGAAAATATATTGGATTTGGCCTATTTTTCTGTTTCTGTTCAAATATTGACTATGTCCCAATCCCCAATTCACTGACAAGATTTATGGCATATTGCACATTTAGAAGAAAATGACATCAGAGATAAAGTTTAATCCCATAAGTCTTCTCATTGTCTTTGGGTCAACCCATCATTTCTGCCTCTATGACGTTTCTCATGTAAATCATGTCCTGTTCATTTCTTCCTTCTTTACTTCCTTCATTCATCAATACACAGGTGTTTAGTGATAACTAATAAGTGCCAGGAACTGTGCAAAGAGTAATGGATAAGGTTGTAAGACACGTACTCTGCCATGGAGGATCCAACAATCTACAGGAGGTAATCAAGATCTAAATGGTAACTTCGACATTCAGTAGCAAGTGCATTGATAGCAACAGTACATGCAGATTTCTTAGCACCTCCAAAAAAGAGCAACAAACTCAAATTGTCAGAGTGCTGGAAAAGATCACAGGAACCTTTCTGAAAAAGTCCCAGCTTGACTGAGAACAGTGACGGTAATGTCATTACTCAGGCAGTAACGGAAGGGAAAGAGTTCTAAGTGAAAGCCTGGAGGTTAGTAGGTCATAGTTCATTAGGAAAAGTAAAAAATTCAGTACAGCTGCAGAAGAGAGTGAGTGTAGCATGGCAAAAAGTAGCTCTTTCCCCTTGTCTAGATTAAATTTAGATTCTTGGGAATAACTCAAGTGAGGACTTCTCTATGAAGCCCTCTCCATCTCAACTCTCAATGACCTCTCAATTCTCTGAACCTTCTTAAGGCTTTATGCACTTTCCTAATAAAGTTTCCTTCAGACATCTGTATTTTCCTCTTCATCTAACAGAGAAGGTTACGGCCATCTCTTTATGTTCTTTGGAAGCTCTCATGGCATATAAATAAAAGAAATAAAAAGCACTACTATTCCTCCCCACCTCATCCTCTCCTTTAAATGCCAGAAAATTCAAATGTTCATGGTGTAGACTTAGAGTTCCTTAATTTCCATGATGCAAGGTGACTATTAATCACATGGAATCCATTTCAAATATGGGTATTTTGCTCTATGCAGAACATTTATAATAGATGTATAGTTTGATATGAGAACTCACATATCACAGAGACTCTATTTTATTAATGACTCTTACACTACTAGTGAGAGTAATAACAATATTACACATAATAATTTATTATTTTAAATAAGCTGCTTTTCTTGAGGGAATTGCATAAACTTGAGTTCATGCTGTTAAAGATTTCATATAGCTTATGAATTAGTGTCTCAGAGGATTTGAATGATTTCCTCTCTTTTCACCAAAAATGGATAATTTTCATCCTTTTGCACCAAAATAAGAAGCCATGTATGGCCTAATTTTTATACATAGACATGCATGTTCAATTTTCTTCCTCCACCAAGATATTTTTAAAAAGCCAAATCTTAATTTTAAAAATAATTATACTTATTTTGAAGAGCAGACTGGCATTTCCTGGTAGTGCATATTTTTTCCACTCACAATGTGGAAAAGAAAATTTACAATCCATGGATTCTAACCCAGCTCACAGAGGAACTTCCTATCAACAATTCTTCATCTTGAAAAATCCTTAAATGAAATGTTAAACCTTATGAGTTGGTCTTTTACTAAGCCAAATATGGATCAAAACTCAGAATGAATGGCTATTTTAAATGAACTTAATCACTGATTTGTGAGGAGATAGTACTTATAACTAAAAAGTTTTCACAAATGATTGTTGTAGCCATCCTAACATGTTCACTGCAAGTTGAAGGTGCTATTTTCCTCTGATTAGAAGCTATCTTCCTGGGCATCTGAAAGGGACTCTATCTGATTTAGCCTAAGTCTTGCCGATCAATTGACCATCATTGGGTCTAAGCTTTTCTCTCGACCCAGTTGATCCCTGACATTTAAACTCCTTTACAGAGGGAGAAATAGACTGCAGTGAGGATGAGAGACAGGTCTCTTGTACAGGAAGAAATCATAAGTTGAGCTGGGATGAACCATAATTTCTTGGAGCTTAGAATAAGAGGTCATTAGAATATAATAAGAAGAAATGGGATAGATGGAAATAAGAATGAGGAAAAGGATCTAAACAGGAAGGGGTAGTTTAAAATCAAATTTACCTAGAGGTCATCAAATTAATATTCTTATTTTAATGATTAAAATAATGATAATGACAAGCCAATGGAAGATAAATGAGTTGCTCAGGGTGGGTGGCAATGCTGTGACAGGAATCATTTGGTTACCAATACAGGGTTTTTTTAATTTTTTTTAATATTCCAATAACTTTTTGCTGCTTTGAAAATACTTCCTATTTTCCAATGAGTTATAAAGAAAGATATGAAATGGGAATTACCATCTTGGTTATTTCTGAAATAATTTCCAGCAGGTTATCAAAAAAGAGATTGTACAATTCATCCTTGCAATGCTTTGTGGAGGAAAGGAGCTTAAATGCTGTATTTTAATACAAAAGATTGCCCAAAGAGGCGTTGCATTATACAATAATGCCAGGAGAAGATTAACTACCACGCAGACTGCACCTCTGCCAGAGAAACTGAATGATTTCTATATAAAGCTCATAAATGAAAGTGTTCATTTATTCATAATATTCTAACATATTCTGTACTGTTTTTCTAAGACAAGCAATGCATGGCCTTTTAGTTTTATGCCATTACTTAAAATATTTGAAGAAAATTGTTCATCAATCTCTGATTCTATTATCACACTCAACAGTAGGTTAATTACTATCTCCTGGGTTCATTTTCAGCAGGAAATATTTAATAAATTGCTACCAGGGTATGATATCCTGACAGGGAAGACATGACTTACAGTCCCTAAAAGATGACTAATGTGAATTATTTCTAGAACACAAGATGACACCCCCCCCTCCAAAAAGAAAAGCTTGCCAAGTTAAACTCATTTTTACTGACAAGGTTTTTATCTTCAGAGAATAATTTATCTATTTTGAAGTCCATCACAATACAAGAACCAGAAAGTCATTAACCATAGATGCTTTAACATAAACAGAAGAGTCAGAGCAGAGGGTCATGTTTTTGACAGTCAAATATGATCAGTGAAATTTTAGATTTGTTGTTTGATAAAACTCTACGTGTACAGCCAACTGAGCCTCACATAGAATGAAGAGCTCTCTCACTGGTTTCAAATACTAAACAACAAGGGGAACTTTACCCAGTTCACAAGTTTCCTCTTGAAAAAAATGAAGAAAATCTTTGCAGTTTGACAATGGCTATAATTCTTGTGCCGCCTCACTAATCCTTACTATACTATTGAGTAGTGCCTTGTATCAAATCTAATTATTCTCACAACGTCTGTGGAATTTCTATAGATCTATTCTGACCAATTAGTATTTCCCCACGTGCTGCCCCAGGTCCCCAAAACCAAACTGAGCATTACAACTGCAGTGTGATTTTTATGTTATCTTACTGTTTGTTCTTTGTACTTCTCTTTATTGTGCCTCCAAACTTAGCTTTTTCTTTGCCCCTGGACCACCTGCAATGCCCTGATGTGGACAACTCATGCTCTCATTGGAAAATGCCTCAAAGACCCTGTAAGTGGCTGTACTTTATGAAATACATATTCTCACAGGATTGACAGGACATGTGCTATCATTAAAAATGCAATTCTGCAAATACTATGAGCCAAAAATTACCAAGAGTTTTAGACTGGCTATTCAGAAGAATGGTCACCATGTTCACGTTGTGAATCATGAAAATGGTCAAGCAAATGGCCGAAGACTAGGTACAAAGTAATGTTTAAATCTTGTAATCCCCAAAGCCACTCTACCATCTCTAGTAATAGAAAAGAAACATGTTGGCAATTGAACAGAAGTCCTTGTAACTCCATTTTTATTCCATTACACACCTCATGTAACATTCAAATTTCCTTAGAAGGCTTCACGATGAAACTCTGATTATTTTAAATGAGAACAAAAACTATAATTGAATAGCCATAAGAAAGGCAATGTCCTTATCATCATCATAATGTAATATTAGCAATCTACTAGCCATCCTATCTCCCTGGATATTCACCTGCTATTGTAAGGGATGCCTATGTCTGATAGGAAAATGAGCACTGGTTCATACACTGATAGGTACATTCTCATGTGTTTGGAGCTAATATAGATAATGCAAATGATCTAAAATGGATTGAAAATATACATCTTCTCCTTCATTCTCAGTTTATTTGGTTTCATGGAAGAGCTACAAAATCAGGCCTAAATTTTCTGGGGTAGCGTGTTAAAAGAGTTCAGCAGAATTGGGTGTGTTATTTTCTGGATAGACTGTCTTTTCACCTGCCACTAGGCAATCTCACTTTTGGACAGTACTTTACACTTTTATCAATCACTTCTGCATGTTTCTGAGTATTAAAACAATGCCATAGGCAGGTAATAAGAGAGAGGAAATCATCTACACATTGCAGGTCAAGAAGACATGGCTGGCAGACTTTAAATGACGCATCCTGAAGTTAAGCTTTAATCCTAGAATATGAGCCTCAAGTGCTGTACTTCACTGTACCTTGGTAAGCAGACTATAATAGATGTGATTTTGCTTCTTTCCCCCAAACAGGAGGATCTTGAAACATTGCAACTGTACTTAATTGAGTTTGTGACTTTTCTTCTAAAACATGGATAGCAGAATGTATGCACCTGCGTGGTACCCTGGGGAGCATCCTGTGATGAGCTTTACTCAAATGAAAATTTTATCGAAGGTTGAAAGTTTTCTCCCAAGTTGTTTTCTTGTCTTTGATAAAACTAATATCTCTGCCTCATTTTCAGCCTTTTTACTGCTCTAAAATCATCATCATGTTCTGGTCTTACGTCATCAACCACCTTAAATCACTAGTCATTTTAATGCCAACATCTCATGAGCAAATATCAACATTGTGCTGGCATTAAGAGAACCTCTGATTAAATCATTCAAACCAGATACACTTTTTAGAACTAGAGGTGTACAGCAGGGCTTCATACCTCTGGAGACTTGCTCATGTCTGGATTCACTATGGCTAACTCCAGGGTCTCAGCTTATAGGCGATGGCTAACCAAAGCTACACAACAGTTTAATTCAGCATTTAGACAATGGGAGACTTTATTTTTTTCTCTCAATTTTATGCTTTCACAATATTTCATCAAGTCATGATATAGGTGAAGTATTCTGTTAGGAAGGTCAGTCCCTTTCTTTATTTCTTCTGTATAATTTCTTAGTTAATGAAAGGAAAAAGAAGCATGAGTACAATGCCCACAGAATTGCCAATACAATAAGAATTATACTCCTCAAAAGCAGCTTGGGCTTACAGATTTGAGATTTGTTCTATTCTTGTTCTTGAACAATGATGGTAGAGATGTCTTCTCTCTCATTTTTTCTTTTGATCAGTTTCAAGCACTGTCACCACAAAAGAAGATGGTGATACCCCAATGGGAAAGCCATCAACCACAATTTTCTCATACACTTTCTAAATCAGACTGAGAGGAAGGAACAGGTGGCAGTGAATGAGGCGCCAAGTTAGTTGGAGGGCATGGCCTTGTCTGTCCCCATGGGTTTCCATGGTACATCTGTGACTTGAGGGACAGGGCTTCCCTTCCCATCTTGATGATAAAACATCGTAAGTAAAAGTAAGATTCTTGCATTGGTAGAAAATAAATGGTTTTAGTTGTCAATTGCACCTTGCACCTAAATTGACCCAAAACTTAGTGGCTTAAAACAACATTTTCTCACAATTCACACTCAAGGTGAGCTCCGCACTCGCAGGTGTGGTGCCTCCAATGGGATGGCTCTCCGAGGGACATGTGTCTGGGACATGCTGTCCTCCATGGGCTGGGCTCTTCAGTCCTCCATGCGGTGTAAGGGCCTCTACATCTTCACATGCCCCTTGCACATGAACCTTCCATGCAGTCTGTTGGAGCAGGGCGGCTAGGCTCCTCACAGGGCAGCTCAGGGCTCTGAGGGTGCTACATTAGAAGATTCCAGGCTTTCTTATGGCTGAGCTCTAGAACCTGCAGAGCATCACTGCTGCCACATTCTACTGGTTTAAGCAAGTCACAAGCCCAAGGGGAAGAAACCGCACAAGGCATGAACCCTGGGAGCTACAGTTCATGGGAGACTCCTCAAGTAACTGGCTGTCACCGTAGGGTGCAAAGAGCTTAGAGTCCTTGAGTGTCATTTGTCTGTCAGGCCCCTCTGAGCAATTCACTCCTTCTTTGACCACCCCTTGCCCTTCTTCCCATGGCCACATCTGTGCTCCCCGCTCAGTGGTGTGTGGGAGCCAGGCTGTGAGAGCTGACCTTGTGCATCTCTTTTCAACTTGACATTCAGTGACCTCACTTGGCCACAGTGGGAGTATTCCCACTACATAAAACTGGAAAACGTTCCAAACCAGGGCTTGTTTGGTGGTAGTGGTTGTTTGACTTATTGATTCTTTTGGATTACCAGTTTCTCAGCACCACCGTGCCCACCTCACACCCATCTTGCCCTATGTTCCTTTCTAGAACTCAATTAGGTGCATAAAGAATGTCTGATCATAAGAAAGGCTGCTTCCCCACCATGGGGATGATCATTATATAGTGAACTAGGTACTGGCTTTGGTTAACACACAAATTTGGTTTTAAAACCTAGCCCTACTATTTACTACTTGTGTGTTCTGAGGCTAGTTACCTAACTACTCTTACATAAAATATAGACCAATAATACAGCTATTGAGTATAAAGAAACCTGAAAATATATATTTTTAATGGTAAAACAAAAAATCTCTAAGGCATAATACCATTAGTTCTGATCCTCCGCCCAAGGATATTTTATTTGTTTTGATGATGAGGTTTAAAGCACCATGAAAGACAAGGGGACAGAGGTTTGGGCTGGAGTCACAGTCAGCCACATTATGTCCAGTGTTCTCTTCTCTACCGACAGCTATTCCTGATAGTAACAGCAGTAGCCAAAGGCTCTGATTGGAGAGCAGGCACAAAAGTCCCAGGCTCCGCTGCAGAGCAGGTTGGACCTGCCTTCATGGGGAAGCGGTGTAAGTGATGGTAGCACGTGCTGAAGCTAACAGGCTACTCCCCTGACATGACCCCCCACCCCATGCCTGAGGTTCCACCATTAATGATTCATTTCTGTGAGTCAGATAATCTCACTGGGGTTGCCCTCTAAAATTCCTAGCTGCTTTCATCTCAGAACAGTAGGAATAACAGCCCACAGGTTTTGCTTATGTAGGATAGAAATCAAACATTTACAAAGGGATTACTACAATAGTCCAAAAAGAAAAATTATTCTCCAAAGAAAACCATTAACCTTTAATAGCTATGTACTCACATATTACATTAAAAATGCATTTGAAACTCATTTTTTCTGTAAATATGGCCAATAATTATCTTTTCAAACTAGTAATTTTAAGCCTGAAGCACCAGGATGGTACAAATGCTCCAAAGTTACCAGTTTATATTTTATATTATGCAAATAGTTAATGGTCATTCAAAAGTTGGACTCATATTACACCCACATCAAGGAGATAAATGTAGTACATTTCATTTATTTTTTTCACTATTTTTTGTTTTTGTTACCAAACCAAGGACTGATTGTTTTTTTTAATATTAGAGCTTGCCATTCAGTAGAATAGTAGATAGAAACATCTAATCATGATGAATAAGTAAGCTCTGCGGCATCTCAAATTATAAACTTGTGGCTCTGAGACAGAGGCCGTAAAATGCTGAATGTGAGCCAAAAGTGTCAGCTGAAATGACTTGTTTTAGAGGAAGCTGCTCACATTTAACAAGATACATAGAATACTCAGTCAGCCAGTACAGTGCAAAAAGTTAAAATACAATAAAATAAGCTGAAATACACAGCTTCAACTGCTGCACAAATGTAAAAGAGTTGTGGTTTTGATTATTTTGACTAGAGGTAGGATGGGAGGGAAGATATGTTGAGTATCTAAATTAAATTTTAGTCCCACGGGCATTTGCAAAATATATGACCAATCTGCAAATGGATTTGGTTTTTGGTAATACTCTTTAACAAAGCAGAAAAGAAAAAAAATAGATCTCTGAATTTTAGCTCATGATATTAATCTAACTTGCTAGAAACACATCATATTTATAGTCAATATTTGCACAGGCATTGCCTGTCTAAACTGATTTTTAAGTGGAATGTTCCAAAGCATGACTCAAATCACTCTAAATCATTGTTAAAACTAAAGCCAATGACATTAAGTTAGAAGGTCATGGTGTCATATTTTTATAGATTTGATGTAGGTGCATAAGATGTAGATTCCCTTAATAAAGAAGAGTAAAAAATGATGCAATCAGGTAACATGAGCTTACAGTGAAGGAAAGTAAAACCTTGAATTTTTCACATGATTCTATACCCACAAGCTCAAGAATGAGCACAGGAAATAAAATGAAAAGCAGCAAATTGCTTCCTTAATTGTGTAACATATGTAGTAGATTACTGCCAGTTGATAGACAATAAAGAGACAGACACATGAGTACTTTGTTAACCTAATTAAAGCTTCGTGGATACACACGTTGCTGAGGACTCAAGTTTCAAGCCTCCACTGTGATAATGAACACAAAGCCTGATCACTGAAAATGTCATTACTGCCACCAGAGGTTACACTTGTCCTCAGCGAGTTCTTGTAGGTTATGTAACAAAGATAACTCCTGTTCCAATGATCATCAACACACTTTAAAAAATGGGCCTTCTGGGTTTGCTGCTGATTGATCTACTACAATTTTCAAACCTTAAGTGAACCTTAATCTTCTTTGTTTTTAATAAAGTGCTTTACTTACATATTGCATCAGGAAGCAAATGCATGAATCACTGTAAATGACACACTTTCTTATTAGCTGATACAGTAATTCCTCCAACATTCACATTTTTTCAAATTACCTTTAAAAGAGTTGCCAATGCTAAACTGTGAAAGATACGGCTTAGAAAAATCCACCGTAAGTAAATGCATCGAATGACTCTGAAAATTCAATGTAGCCAGCTTTCTAGTGTCAGAGATAAAAGTAGATTAATAGTTTAATTAAACATGTTAGAGACTCTGGGTATTGTAGCTATTACACCTTTGACCTCACAGGAGGCTGTCAGCAATGTAGGGAGGGTGAGTACTGAGGTTACTTATTTATGATGTGCAGCTGACTCAAAAAGCGTACCCAGCTAGACAGAACTTGTAATTAACCAAAAGATCTGGTAAATTATGAGATCAATAAAATTTCCTGGGTGCCACAGTCTTCAGAACTAGTTAGTACATTCCTAATTTATTGGCAAAAACTTCGTGAACCTGCAAGGAAGATAAATAAAAATGTCTAGATATAAAAATAAATATGTATGCTTGACAAATCTGAAATACACTGTTTACAGCTAATGAGGAAGTGGATGTGCATTTTGCTGCATGTTTTATATCTAGAGCAGGGCAGAACATTAAAACCAATATAACTGATAACCTTGGCGCAAACAGCAAAAGCCTGCATTTCCCATTATTCCCTAGAGATGGAATTAATTAGTACTTGTCAAAACCACAGCGATCCCCTGCTATAAAACTAAAAGTAATGAAGAGGCTACGAACGGCTTGGCTCCCCTCCAAAAATATTTCTCATCTATTTAGGATAAAAATACTGCATACATCTCTCTATGCAGTATATACACTTCTTTTATTCCAGATACCTCATAAACACACACACTCATGCACGAATGCATTATCTTTTTGGCTACAGTTCAACAAATATCAATGAGACGCCTACCACACAGAGACCCAGAGAATAAAAATACATTAAGAGTTCAGTGGGCAGCAGAGACTGATAGAGGGGACATTTCAACTCAAAGTGTTAATAATTTTGATGGAGAAACATACCATGAGGTATGGGGACTCAGAAAGGGGCACCTATCTGAACTTGGCAGGGAGGCCAAGGGGAGGAATTGGGTAAGTGCCGGGCTACTAAAGGTAATGCTACTCCTATTATTGGTGACTGGCCTATTTCACAAGCTCTTTCACAAGAGTAGTTGAGGGGGCCTTCACACCCACTGCTGCTCCTTCTCAGATCGCCTTCTGCACCCCTAGATCCTAACTGGCTCATCTGCATCCTGCAGATGACTGCTCCAGGGCGCCCCCTTGAGTGAGATCTTTCATGGCTCCCAATTTAAATTTAGTTCCAAACCCTTCCCCCTTCCATTCTCTTATAGCATCTTGTTCTCCTTAAGTCTTACCATGTTTTGTAATTACAACTTTTCCTTTGATAATTAGCTCTGCTACCCATCACCTGTGTATGCATTTCCTGTGAGCTTGTCAGAACTGCAGGACTTCCACCCGCACACCAGATCTCACTGAATTGGGTCTATAGTTTAAGATCTACAAGTGATGCATATACACTTTAAGGCTTAAGAAGAAATGACCTAGATCTAGAATCCTTCACATTTTAATGCAGTAACCATAAGTCATATATGGCTACTCAAAATTAATTACAGTTAAAAAAATCAATTTTTTTTGCTAGCCATACTTCATATGCTCAATAGCTGCATATGGCTAGTGGTTAATGTGTTGGACAGTGCAAATATGGAACATTTCCATAAGGGCAGAAAGTTCTATTGGATAGAACTTTCTATTGGATAGAAAGTTCTACTATAAGCACCTTGAGAGCAGGGCCATATTTTGCTCACTGCTAAGAACTAATCTTGAGTTCCTAGAACACTGAGAACAGGCATGCAAAGGTTTTTCTTAAATATACTGCATAAAAACATACTAAAGTATTAATAGTATACTTTGAAAGGTATCCGGGTCATAGAAGGTAAAAAATAAGTGCTACTACCCATCTTCATTACAAGTAATATTCAAAATCTCTGTGATATTGACCATAAATAGCTGCTAAGCAGGGTACGTGGTAAACTAGCAAGATTTTTACATTTTTCTTATTCTTTTTTTAAAGAGAGATTCTTGGGTTTCCACTTCTGCAGACTGAGATTTAATATGACTGAGGGTTCATACTTCTGACATGAATTAGCCACCTATATTTATATTTGATAGTCTAGATGGTTGAAATTTCATCCTTTCCCCTGGGAGCTGGTTTGATTTCCCTCCCTGATGAGAACATAATAAAAATAATGGGAAATTGTTTTTAAATGAATTATCAGAATGTCTAGGAATAAGTTCCAGAAAACTCAACTCAAGGCATCTTAAGAAAATAAAAGATAACATATAGATTCCTATATCTGAAAAAGCCAGGATGAGAGTTATTGAGTTAGATGTCCAAATGATCTGATCTCTTCCCACCTGTCAATACTAATTTCCTATAGATCAGTTTCATTCTGGAGCTCCATGGGGTGGAAAGATGGTAGCCAAGATCTCCAGGCTTTTCTTCTTCTAAGCCTTATCTAGCAGGAAAGGGCGGATGGCTTGTCTCAATAGTCTCAGTGAAAGTTCCACCGCACATCATTGGTTTTGACTGGGGAACATGCCATGTCAATGATGAGTCACAATAGCCAAGAGAATACGTTGTGCTGATTGGCCAGGCCTGAGTCACATATCCACCCATAGATCCCACCCCCATCTTAAGAACATGGAGTGAGCATGAGACAGGATGTGGTTTCTGAAAGAGAGTCAAGGTGTTGCTGTCAGAAGAAAAATGAGTGGATTTTGGGTGACCAAAACAACAGATGCCTATAACCTACCACTTCCTTTAAAATAAAAGAATGAATGGATAAGTGTGTGTGTGTGTGTGTGTGTGTGTGTAAAATAGAACAGATTTTTAAACTGAGCTGGCATGTTTAAGTGGCATTACTAATCAATATCTAGGGCTATGCAAGTCCTTGACGTGGGAAATGAAGAATTTCTAAGCTAGACCCAAAGCCAGTTATAACTGTAAATATTAGTAGCCTTTAAACTGTCTATTCCTTCATCTGTGCAGAGACAATTTACAAGCACAGAGCTGATATCTACTCCAGACGCAAAGGAGACTTGGCTTCACGTTGCCAGTGTAAGCCTTAGTATTTCCTCTTGATTTAAGTAGCTTAGTGAGTCCCACATCATTCTCAGCATCCCGTGTGTCTGTTTGCTACAGTGGGTCAGAGACTCAGGTTACTAACAGGTCTTTCCATTCCTGCAAGAACGATTTCTTTACAAAATATTGTTGTGTTCCCTCTCTGGGACAATATTTTCAGTTGACAAGGCACCCTGGGACAAAATGAAATAATTCAGTCCAATAATTCAATGTAAAACCACAAGCCAAGATTCCAGCAATGGCTGCAAATTTCAGAATCTAATTTTCAGACAAGTGGTTCACAGGTTCAACCTCACTTGTTATTAGTGCTCAAAAATGGTAGGCCTAGGCACTCCACCAGGAAGCAGGGTACCTGATCCACTGGGCATTTTGTTCAGATGAATGTCCCCTTGATTCTGCCTCATATTATTGATGGAGACACTCTAGATGCCACATGGTGGGTAATATTGTTCACAGCCCCAGGATACTAGAGCAGGAAGAGGCTGTGGACACCAGCTACTCAGTGTTTTCAAACTGTGCTCCACTAAAGGATTCTGTGAACACAATGCATGCTAGAGCCCTCCACCTCCACTCAAGTGACAAAGAGCCAAACAGGCAGTAATTTGGTCTCTCACTCTCCCATCAACTACAGCATTTGGTGCTTGACATATTTTACTTCTAGAGTTTCATCCAAGACTTTTTTTTTGCACAAGGGGTCCAGCAGTTATACTGAAAAGCACAGCCACTTGATAGAATCCATTAAAAATAGCAAGGTAGATCTCCATGTACTAATACTCAATAACCTCCAAAATCCATTGGCAAGTAAAAAAAAAAAAAAACAAGGTGTAGTAGGCTTTGAATATATATACTACTTGTATAAAGACAAACAAAAACTACATAGAACAATTCTAGAAATGTACTTGAGAAACCGGTAGCACTTGTCTCTGGGCTTGGGTCCTGGGGGACGGGTCAGAGCAAACTGGATATTGATTTGCATTTATATACTTCTATGTAATTTGAATGACTTGTTTATACTTATAAATGTATTTACATTGCTTTTTTAAAAAACATGTTGCCAAAATGTCTTAAAGCCATTGATTTGGCATAGCCATCTCATTTTACAGAGAGTGGCAGGCCTTGCTGAGGTTTGCTCTGGAGCAGGGGTCCTCAAACTACGGCCCGTGGGCCATATGCGGCCCACCCAGGACATTTATCCGGCCCGCTGGGTGTTTTTGCCACTGCTGCCTGTCCTGCTTAGCAGCTGACTCGTCCCAGGCCCACAGTGCGCATGTGTGGAATGTGCGCCGCACTCTCCAATGGCCCTCCAGTGGTCTGAGGGACAGTGAACTGGCGCCCTGTTTAAAAAGTCTGAGGAGCCCTGTATCTAAAGAATGGAGACTCATCATCAGGAGTAGGCCATGGGGCTGGCTGCCTGGCGGGGTTTCTGCCTCACATGCATGGGAACACAAGCACAACTAGGGCTTCCTTCTAGCAAAGTGGGGACAGTAGAACCTAGGGGCCTCTTTTTTTTTTTTTTTTTAAAGAGTCTCAAAGCTGATGCATCCCTATCCCTTACCCAGGACATGCTGCTGGTCACTACACCTCCACCCTGAGCATGGCACCAGGAGAAATGGAAGGCAGGCTTTGAAAGGCTGTGCTCACTTCGAAATGCCCTTGGGTCTAGCTGTTGTCATGTCCATTATGATGTCCGATAACAATTTTGATCAGCACTGTTTAGAGCCAGTGAACTTCCTTTCTGTGGAAGATTGTCAACAATGGCCAGGATGTTCCCATCCCTTGCATTCACATGCTTGCAATGTGGTGCCAAAGATCTTCTCCTTAGCAGGTGGGATCAATTACCCCCTCCTCTTGAATCTGGCCATATCATTTTCCTGGGCCAATGACTCAGTAGCAAATATGATGAAAGCAAAATCTTGAAAGTGTACAGCACCGGGGCCTGCCCTCTTCCTGTTTTAGGGACTCAGGCACATTGTGAGTAAGTCTGAGCTAGTCTGCTGGAGATGCGAGGCCAATTGGAGCCAACACCATGAAGCAGAGCTGATGCCACCCTAGGTTATCCGGCAGCCAGCAAAGGGACTGGCTCTACCATGCAATGGCAAAGATCAGCTGGGCCAGCCTGGGCCAGATCATGACATAAATAAAACAGTTGCTGTTTTAAGCCTCCAAGTCATTTTTGTTATACAGCAAAAGCTAACTTATATACATTTTCCTTTTCATTGAATATAGCCCAGATCTTTAGACCCAAAATAAAAGAGATAAAACTAACAACGAAAGTGATCATGTGACTTTTTCAAATTTAAGCCATCACAGACTCATGGCTAAAACCTCGGCCTCCAGACTTCCAGTCAAAATCTGTCTATCACAGTTTAGTCTTGAAGGATAGAACATTATACTCCATATATCGACTAGAAAGGGAATAGAGGATTGAATTTGAAATCCCTGACCTAGAATTTGTATTTCCCAGGGCATGTTTTGTGTGTATTTATTTTCAAACTGCAGTCTTTAACATTTGTCTGCAGAAGCTTACAGATGTTTTAAGAAATGTCTCATTTATTTAGGACAATTATGAAAAATGAATTGGCAAGGATATGCCACAGCAATAGACAATCAGGAAGTTTTTGCATAGAAAAGTGTCCTAGATGTGGAAGAAACAAATATTGAAAAGAAAGGCTACTCTGTAATTCCTAAAGGCTATGTTTTCTGAAGACCCTGAGTCTTTCTGCAGAAATTTGCCTTATAGCATCAGGATGAAAACTGAAAGGAACAACTGAACAAATCTGATGACACCAACCTAGTGTTTGTCATACTATTCCTCCACTGGTATCAGGGTTCATAACAGTCTCACATTTCAGGGGATGACATCATGTGAGTCACAACTTTCTTTGCCTTATGGCTGAACACCCACAGGCATTCTAAAATTCTGAAAGGGATGGGCAGCCATTTTACCCTAATTATGTGTTGCCTTTGAATTTCTCTGGTTTAACCTTTTCAATCCATACAGTCTGTCCCTTCTTATTGTGCAAGAAAGTATACACAAACCAGAGATAGGTGCTACATAATACCTACTGATTAAAAATGCAGGCGTCAGAGGAACCCTAGTGCTTAATAATTGGGTGGTCACAAGTAATATGCCTCAGTTTCATATCTGTAAAATAGGGATAAATAAAAGCAGTGACTTGTAGGCTGTTGTGAGGATTAAACAATGCACATAAAACACATTGTATCATGCCTGGTACATGGTAAGTTTAAAAAGGAAAACATCAAGCCAGTTGATGGCAGCACTGTCTGTCTCCAATCTTCACCCAGTCTATCCTCCCACCTGCCCTATAAACTTGTTTTTTTTATTTTTATATATTACTGGGGTACAAGTGCAATTTTGCCACGTTGATATATTGCATTGTGGTGAAGTCAGAGCCTTCAGTGCATCCATCACTGGAGCAAGGTACACTATACCCACCAAGCAAGGAGCTCAAAGTGCTCTTCCAGGAATAAGGGTCATATATTATTCACCTGGATATTTACTCTTCCCTTACTCCACTCCCCACCACTTTGCCTATTCTTTCCTCATTCAACTCATTCCCAGTGTTTGCCATTTCATATCATTCTATATATTTAATATATGTAAATGCAAAACCATTGGGCTTAAATCTAATCATAGGGGGCTTTCAAATTTTCACTTGAATTAATAAACTGCCCCCTGCTGATATATCAGGGAGCAGGAGTGATGTGGTTGTTATATTTTCAGCTATCAGACTCTGTGACATTACTGACAATTCCAAGACTAGAAAATATCCTGGGTACATAAATCAGCTCAGTTTAAACTCAGTGAATATACTTTAGTGTTAGAAATGAAGCCTCTGGAATCATATAATGTAGGAAAATATAAAAACTCACACTCTTTGCATGGGTGCAATAATATTTACTGAGGCTAAAATAAGCAACCTCCTGTCATCCTATAAAATTATAATTCAGTAAACAATATTGCCAACAAATAAGTAGTTATCATGCATGAGTACTTTGACCTCATTTCTACCCATGTAAAATGTGTTTCCCTTTATTCAAAAATCTTTGTTACATCAAGCTGGTTATGAGATCAAAATAAACAATACAGTTGGACCTCAACTTTTGTCATCTGTTAAAAGAAAGGGTTGGAATATATACTGTTTTAGGCCCCTTCCAGCTCTAAATTGCTCTAGTTTCTCTAAATTTCTTTCCTATTATTAGACTTTTAATGTTGATAGATGGCTAGATATTTGCCATTTCTGAGTCATGCTTCACTAAAATATATCTTTCAATACTCATATTAAAAAATCAAAATTATTTATAGAAGAATGCTAGCTAATGCGTAAGGAATGGTAGAATTAGAGAATGACTATGTTGCTAACCCTATATAGTGATTCAGAGAAGGCTCATCAATGGATGATACCAACTTTAGGTATGAGTAAGCAAGCTACATGATGATGCCAAACCCACAGATTATTTACTAATTGCAAAGAGAAAATTCAGTGACAAGCCTCAAAACAAGTGATTAATTATTGATGAAGACAAAATGACTGACTAGAGACACTGGTTGCCAGATTGTCTCAGAAGGAAGAAAAAGTTTTAGATGGGGAAAAAAAAAACATATCTCAGGTGTAATTTTGAGGGAAAAATGCCAGGACCTACAGAAAAAGCAGTCCTAAGGGGAAATTTCATAGTCTTATACGCTTACA